CCTCCCTGCTCCCCATCCTGGGGGTCCAGGTCCCCAGCCCCTCCTGCTACCACCTGGGGGCCCGGGTCCCCAGCCCCTTCTCATCGGACCTGGGGATCTGGGCCCCAGGTTCCTCCCTGCTCCCCAACCCGGGGGTCCGGCGCCTAGCCCCTCCCTGCTCCCCATCCTAGGGGCTCGGGCCCCCAGCCCCTCCTGCTACCACCTGGGGGTCCAGGCCCTCAGCCCCTTCTCATCCGACCAGGGAGTCTGGGCCCCTAGCCCCTCCCTGCTCCCCAACCCAGGGGTCAGGTCTCCCAGCTCCTCCCTGCTCTTCAACCCAAGGGTCCCGCCCCCCAGCCCCTCCCTGCTCCCCGCATCCTGGGAGTCTGGGCCCCCAGCCCCTCCTGCTACTCACCTGGGGGTCTGCGCCCCCAGCCCCTTCTCATCTGACCCCGCGGTTGGGCCCCTGGTTCCTCCCTGCTCCCCATCCTGGGGGTCCCGACCCCGGGTTCCTCCCTGCTCTCCAGCCCAAGGGTCCAGGCCCCTAGCCCATCCCTGCTTCCCAACCAGGGAGTCTGGGCCTCCAGCCCCTCCCTCCCTGCTCCCCACCTGGGGGTCTAGGGCCCTGGCTCCTCCCTGCTCCTCAACCTGGGGGTTCAGGCCCTATCCCCTCCTCCCCAAACCCAAGGGTTCAGGACCCCTGCTCGCACTGACCCACCTCAACTTTGAGACTGGGAATTGTGTCTGCAGTCTCACCCTGGAGGTTAGAGACCAGGAGGGCAGGGCAGGCCGAAACTGGGTTCGGAAGCTGAAGACCCCTCTTCCTCGCTGTCCTGCAGGCTCAGGCTCCTTGGACTACACACAGGGCAACCTCGTCCGCCTGGGGCTAGCCGGCCTGGTGCTCCTCTCCCTGGGCACGCTGGTCTTTTTGGACTGGCGCAGCCGGAGTCGCATCCCGTGTAGTGTTCGGCCCTGAGTCCTGGAGGACTGGATATAGACGCCCTGAAGCGTGAGAAGACTTTCCAGAGGTGGCGAGAAGAAGCAGGGATTCCCGGGGTTGGACCGGCCCTTGCAAGAGCCCCACAGTTGGGCTGAGCCCAGCTGCTGAATAATAATCTGCTTCATACTGTGTGTTCTCCCTCCCTTCTGGGCCAGTACCTCCTAGATCCGTGGAAGGCTCTATCCGTGGTTAAGGCTTCCCAGTCACAAGGCCTGGGTTCGATTCCCAGTGCTGCTGCCTCCTCGCTGGGATACTAGGAAGATGACCTTTGCCAAGTCTCAGTTGCCTGGACTGTAAAATGGGCTCACTGATAATACTCACTTCCTAGGATTATTGTAGGATTAAGTGGGCAATACGCACAAAGCCCTTAAAAGCGACTGGCCCATAGCAAACGCTCAATAAATGTTAGCTATTGGATGAGTGTGGTTTCTACTCAAGGCTCAGGGCTGGAATGAAGTCACAGTCTTTTTTTTCATGGTGCCAGCTCCAGCTCACCTTGTAAGCAATTGGCTGCCACTTCCTTCGTGACATCATTCCCGGTCGCCAAGCAGACCTCTTTCAAACCCCTGCTCAGACCTTCCCCAAAGGTGGGCCAAGGTCAGGTCAAGTGGAACTTCTCTAATTACAGCTTCATTTGCATGCACTGCAGACTGGTTTCTTGAGCCGTCATTAGGATTAAGAGGCATCCACTGCCAAGGCAAAAGCAAGGGCGGTGTGCACAGTAGACCTCTGACATGGACATTAACACATTGCACCTGGCCTGTTTCCCCGCTGGCTCTTGGCTGCCTTCGAGGTTGTCAAAATAACATAAACCGTTCCTCACGCAGCCTGCTTGCTCTCTCTCACCTCTCTGGAAGGCCTGACTACATTCAAGTTTCTCCTGTAAAATGGAATGGAAAATGGTGGAATAGAGGGGTGGCCTGAAGCTCCCCCCTAGTCATACGGGAAGTCAGTGGCGCATCAGGGAGGCTCCCCCTGACTTTGTGCTTCCACTCATTTCTGGTTCCTTTGCTTTTCAACCACCCTCTCACTCAATTCTCGTCATCCATCCACCTGCTCATTCTCATCCTTCTTTCCTTCCATCCCTCCGTCCCCTTTGCACTTGCTCTCATTGGATTTTCTATCCTTTCTTTTGCCCTTACCCATCATTTATTCATTCTTACACCCATTCCTCCCTTTATTAATCAGTTAATCAGCTTATTAATCCAGTCACCTATTTACTATACTTATTCAGTATCTATCAACCAACCGATGCATTTAATTCTTTTTTAAAGATTTTGGGGGGCGCCTGGGTGGCTCAGTCGGTTAAGCCTCCGACTTCGGCTCAAGTCATGATATCAGGGTTCGCTGGTTCGAGCCCTGCATCAGGCTCTGTGCTGACAGCTCAGAGCCCGGAGCCTGCTTCGGATTCTGTGTCTCCCTCTCTCTCTGCCCCTGCCCAGCTCACACTCTGTTTCTGCCTCTAAAAAATGAATAAAAAAACATTTAAAAAATTAAAAAAAGATTTTGCGGCACCTGGGGGGCTCAGTTGGTTAAGTGTCCGACTTTGGCTCAGGTCATGATCTCATGGTTTACGGGTTCGAGCCCCATGTCGGGCTCTGTGCTGACAGCTCAGAGCCTGGAGCCTGCTTCGGATTCTGTGTCTCCCTCTCTCCCTGCCCCTTCCCCACTCATGCTCTGTCTCTCTCTCCTTCAAAAATAAATAAACACCAAAAAAATTTTTTTTAATTTAATTCTTCTGGGGCGCCTGGGCGGCTCAGTTGGTTGGGTGTCTGACTCTTCGTTTCAGCTCAGGTTATCATCTTACAGTTCGTGGGTTCAGTCCCTGCATCAGGCTCTGTGCTGGCAATGCAGAGCCTGCTTGGGATTCTCTCTCTCCCTCTCTCTCTCTACCCCTCCCCTGCTCGCCCTCTCTGTCTCTCTCAAAATAAATGAATGAAGTTACAATTTTTAAAAATAATTCTTCTTTAAAGATTTTATTTTTGGGGGTGCCTGGGTGGCTCAGTTAAGTGTCCGACTTCGGCTCAGGTCATGATCTCACGATCAGTGAGTTCAAGCCCCGTGTCGGGCTCTGTGCTGACGGCTCGGAGCCTGGAGCTGCTTTGGATTCTGTGTCTCCCTCTCCCTCTCTGCCCCTCTCCCACTCATGCTCTGTCTCTCTCAAAAATAAATAAACATTAAAAAAAAAAAGATTTTATTTTTTAAGTAACCTCTACACCCAACGAGCCACCCAAACTCACTCCACCGACTGAGCCAGCCAGGTGCCCCAACTTATGCATTTACTTATCCAACAGGCCTGAAGAGTCCTTCTTCCTAAAGTGGGGAGAGGGGGAGGGGAAGGTGGAAAATATAATAACAACAGAGAGGGTTGTGTGCCCCACCGAAATCAGGCATAAAGCAGGAAAGGCACATATGAGTGCTGAGTGGCGAGAAGGGCTTGGAGACGGAAAGTGTGCGTGTGAGGACGAGAAAGTCATCAAGGGGAGCCAGGTGAAAATAGAAGATTATTGATGGCTAATGTTATTCATAGAATGCTACTGAGTGAGCAGTCGTGAGAGTACTAACTGCATTCTCTACCAGCGACGGTGCAGAGGCACCGGTCGGTCCGCCGGGCAACCCCCATCGTCACCACCAGCCCCCTACGGCCTGTGTGTGTGTCTGGTCTGGGACTTCAGAGGGCCCTTGCCGTCAGGCTGTGGGGTTTGTTCCCCGTGGTTGTGCCACAGGACCAGGACAGCAACAGTGACGACAGCCGTCCCTTCCAGTCTGTGGAGTCAAGTCTCCTTTGGTCTCCTCGGTCACTTCCACTTCTGAATGAGGAAGAGGAAGGGGAACGTGATCACATTTAACAACTGCAAAGCAATTTACCGTCCCTGAGGCGGTGGTTCCTGGTATTTGTCACCCACAATTGCTCATCACTTACAAGGCGTTCCTAAGGAGGCCGTGACAGATCTGCTCCCCTCCCTCCTCCCTAGTTCCCCTGGCCCGGTCCACCACTCTCAGCCTTCTGGCCTCAGAGTAGATGTCGTTTCAACTGCCAACTTTTGCCCGGCCCACGTGTGTTCCGTAGTGCCCTGTCGTCCCCGAATCGAGTACTTGGACCGTGTTCTGATTCTCTCTCTCCCAGACTAGATAGACCACAAGATCCTCCCAGGAGTGGCCAGGTCGTTTCATCACTATGTCTCCAGGGCCTGGGAGGGGTCTTAGGAAGCACGCACGGTGTGGCTGGGTGAGCTCAGCACGCTGAAGATTAATTATCTAAGCGGGCTCTGTACTTTCGCCCTTGGGCAGTGAGAATGACGGGCCCCCCCAGCACGTGATGTCCCAATTCCTGTAGCCTGTGAAAATGTTATACATGGCGAAAGGGACTTCCCGGGTGTGATTACGTTAAGGGTCACGAGGGGAGGTTATCCTGGACTATTCAGGTGGGTTCCATGCAGTCACGGGGGTCCTTATTAAAAGAGGGAGATAGAGGGGTGCCTGGGTGGTTAAGCGGCTGACTTCGGCTCAGGTCATGATCTCATAGCTCGTGGGTTCGAGCCCCGCATCGGGCTCTGTGCTCACAGTTCAGAGCCTGGAATCTGTTTTGGATTCTGGGTCTCCCTCTCTCTCTGCCCCTCCCTCACTCATGCTCTATCTCTCTCTCTCTCCTTCAAAAATAAATAAACATTAAAAAAAATTTTTTTTAACTTAATTATTTGGGGCACCTGGGTGGCTCAGTCAGTTAAGCATCCAACTTTGGCTCAGGTCATGATCTCATGATCAGGGAGTTTGAGCGCCGCGTCGGGCTCTGTGCTAACAGCTCGGAGCCTGGAGCTGCTTCAGATTCTGTGTCTCCCTCTGTCTCTCTGCCCCTTCCCTGCTCACACTCTGTCTCTCTCTCTCAAAAATAAATAAATATCAAAAAAAATTTTTTTTTAATTTAATTCTTCTGGGGCACTTGGGTGGCTCAGTTGGTTGGATGTCCAACTCTTGGTTTCAGCTGAGGTCATCATCTTGCAGTTCGTGGGTTCAGGTCCTGCATCAGGCTCTGTGCTGGCAGTACAGAGCCTGCTTGAGATTCCCTCTCTCCCTCTCTCTCTACCCCTCCCCTGCTTGCTCTTTCTGTCTCTCTCAAAATAAATGAATAGTTAAAAAAAATAAAAATAAAGAAAAAGAATTCTTCTTTAAAGATTTTATTTTTGGGGGCGCTTGGGTGGCCCAGTTGGTTAAGCGGCTGACTTCAGCTCAGGTCATGATCTCATGGTTCGTGAGTTCAAGCCCTGTGTCAGGATCTGGGCTGACAGCTTGGAGCCTGGAGCTGCTTTGGATTCTGTGTCTCCCTCTCTGCCTGTCTCCTGCTCGTGCTCTCTCTCTCTCAAAAAATAAACATTAAAAAAATTTTTCTTGGGGCGCCTGGGTGGCTCAGTCGGTTAAGCGTCCGACTTCAGCTCAGGTCATGATCTCACAGTCCGTTAGTTCAAGCCCCGCATCGGGCTCTGTGCTGACCTCTCAGAGCCTGGAGCCTGTTTAGGATTCTGTGTCTCCCTCTCTCTCTGACCCTCCCCTGTTCATGCTCTGTCTCTCTCTGTCTCAAAAATAAATAAATGTTAAAAAAAATTAAAAAAAATTTCTTTCAAAAAGAAGAGAGAGGCAGCAAGGTCAGAGTCAGAGAAAGGAACCTAGAGACAGAAGCAGAGGTCAGCATGAGGCAGGGTCACGAGGCCAGGAACGCAGGCTCCTCTAGAAGCTGGAAAAGTCAGGGACCTGGGTCTCCCCTACAGCCTCCAGAAGGAAGGCGGCCTCTCCACCCATTTTGGACCTCTGACTTCCAGAACAGAAAGATAAAAATTTTATGTCATTTCAGGCCACGAGTTGGTGACAATCTGTTACAATAGCAAAAGCAAAGCTAATACTATTAGCTTCAGCGGAAACCTCTTTTCCTTTTCTCGCAAACCTGGGCCTGTTCATCCTTAGGATGTGCATTTTCGGCCCCGAACTCTGCTTTCCCCCCCCCCCCCCAGTTCCCATTCACCCACTTGGGACACATCTGTCCAATGTCCACCTCGCGTGGGGCACTGTGCTGGTGCTTGGGGACACAGCACACACACCCTGCTCTCATGAAGCTCACCCAGGAAAGCACGGGCCAAATTGGTAGTCGCCGTACTGATCAGGGAGCACGTTCAGCTGCTGTAACCAAGAGACCCCCCCCACCCCCCGCCAAAGAAAAAGAAAGCCATGTAATTTGATTTCTCTCTCACTTAACAATGTATAGAAGAAACAGTCTAGGGCTGTTTATCAACAGCTTTGTTTTTGTCAGTATGTAGCTTTCCTAGGTGGTTCTGAGCCAGCACGAAAGGAGGACCAAAGAGGGACAAAGAGAGATAGAGAGGGAGGGAGGGAGGTATTGCACACAATCATATTTTAAAAATGGGAGGGGGTTTCTATTACTTAAAGGAAGACAGGAAAAGTGGATGCTGGGAAACCATTTGCCTCTCCATCAGTACAACCAGAGCAAAAACCAAGAGGGAGTTTTGAAAGCCTCTAATAGGATTTGATCCAATCAATGGAGATCTCTGATGGCTTTGCTGAAGAAGTGAGGTGAGATCTGAAAGTTGGGCAGACCTTAACTAGACAAAGAGGGGCTGGAAGGGTGTTGTAAGCAGAGTAAACAGCCTGTGCAAAGGCTCCCTGCGGAGGAAGCTAGGGGGATGCGGTTGGGAGACCGAAAGTTGTGTGCTGTTGCCACCTTGTGGTCACATCATGTTCCTTGATGGGTAAGGAAATCCCTGAACTCACCGGCGCGTCACAGGAGTGTTCTGGCTGGACGAGTGTCACTTCCAAGCTGGAGCATTTAACTGTAAGAACTCCCTCCTCCCCACTGTGAGTTCCCTCTTGTCTCAGACACAGTGACCAGCGCTGTTTGAGATGGTGGCTGGTCCACTGGCCTGGCTGCCTGAGTGCCAAGGATGAGCCGGGCCACCCTGCAGGCTTTTCCTACACCTGTCTGTCTCCCTTCCTCAGCTGGCTCCCAGGCACTCCTCCTGGGAGCCCATCAGTGTGACCATCTTCTCGCACACCTGTCTCGGTCTGCTCAGGCTCTTGTAAAATGCCACACGCTGGGTGGTTTGAACAACAGAAACTTATTTCTAGCAATTCTGGAGGCTGGGAAGTCCGAGATCAGAGTGCCAGCATGGTTCTGGTGAAAGCCCTCTTCCTGGCTTACGGGTGCCCTCTTGTATCCTCACATGGCAGGGGGAGAGGGAGAGAGGGAAGGAGAGAAGGAGAGCAGGGGGGAGGGAGAGGGAAGGAGAGAGGAAGAGCAGGGGGGAGGGAGAGAGGGAAGGAGAGAGGGAGGGAGGGAGGGAGAGCAGGGGGAGAGGGAGAGGGAAGGAGAGAGGAAGAGCAGGGGGAGAGGGAGAGAGGAGAGAAGGAGAGACCTGATGTTTTCTCATGTCTCCTTTTCTTTTAATGGTTTTTAAACAAGTTTTTAAATGTTTTTATTTTTATTTTTGAGAGAGAGAGAGACAGAGCATAAGCGGGGGAGGGGCAGGAGTGAGGGAGACAAAAGCAGGCTCCAGGCTCTGAGCCGTCAGCACAGAGCCCGACGTGAGGCTGGAACCCACAAACAGTGAGATCATGACCTGAGCTGAAGTCGATGCTCAACCAACTGAGCCACGTGGGTGCCCCTAATGTCTTTCTTTTTAAGTTTATTTTTGAGAGAGACAGACTGTACTCTTTGTACAGAGACAGAGTACAAGCGGGGGAGGGGGAGAGAGAGAGGGAGACACAGAATCTGAAGCCGGCTCCAGGTTCCAAGCTGTCAGCACAGAGCCCAACGCGGGGCTCGAACTCACGGCCTGTGATATCATGACCTGAGCCAAAGTCGGACGCTTAACCGACTGAGCCACCCAGGCGCCCCAATTCCAGCCAATTTAGAACACGCATAGAAGCAAAAGGAAAAAAAAAAACATTGAGCACAATTCCACCACTTGGAGAATAAACACTTAAAAAATACTAGATTTACCCTTGTAGATTTTTCCATGCACACGTCAGCTCCTGCCCATTGCCTGGGTCCACTGCCTGGGTTGTCTCTCTGTCTGCACCTCAGCCAGGGTCCCCGAGCTCTTCTTAAGAGCCCCTTCCCACGAAAGATCTAATGAGTAGAAGATTTCACAAGAGATTTCACCGAGGAGGGAGTTCAATCATGTCCCCACAGCAAACAGTTTTCAAACCCACCACAGAACTTTCTCTTCTTCAAATTCCTCGTCCGCCATGCTGCCTGCCACTGAGGGTTCTTTTCTCTTACCTCCTCTCTGTAGGGCCTGTTGTCTTGTTCTCCCAGATCCTCATCCGTCCCTGATGCCTTGTGACTTCTCCCCTCTTTGCCCTCAGCTCCGGCTCTAACCCTGCCCTCAGGGTCCCTGGGACATCACCCAGAAGTTGTGCACATCTCTTCTGCTTACATCCTATGACCAGAACGACCTACGGTTCCCCAATGGAGAGAAATGGGTCTCGTATTCTGGACTGCTGGGGGCCCAGCTCTTTTCAGCCACTTGGCCAAAGGGGACAAAGGCTAGCAATTTCTCCCATGCTTTGCATATTCATGGACGTGCCTTAGCAGTGGGCGATTGCTGTGCTGGGCATGAAGCCTGTGGGAAGTGGCTTGAGAGTGTGTTGCAATAGTCCTTTCCTAACAGAGACCAGAAGACACAACGTGTGGGTAGGTAGAACAGAGGTTTGAAAAACTGGGAGCAAAGCTCTTCCTGCCTGTCCTGGAGTCAAGAGAACGTTCTGGCTCACCACCAACAGCAAAACTCAAGGAAGATCCTTGGAGGAGGCTTGGGGGCGCCGCCATGATGCCCCAGCTCCCGAACCTGGCTCCGCACCGGTAAGCCCTGCGGGGGCAGATGGGCTGTGGCGGCAGCTGGAGTTGGTGGGACCTTCGGGGGCAGTAGTGGGGCGGGGGTGAATAAGCACAGACTAGAAGCTTCCATTCCCTGAATACATGTTAGGTACAAGGACGCTTCACACACATTTTCCTGTTTCCCCAAACTCAGTCATCCCTGAACTGCCCAATGAATGACATTGTGCCCTATGTCTGTGACATGTCCCGGGTTTTCACATTAGTATTTTTATGCTCAACTCTATTTTATTATTTAAAAAAGTTTTAAAAATATTTTATATATTTTTGAGAGAGAGAGAGAGAGAGAGAGAGACAGAATTCGAGTGGGAGAGGGTCAGAGAGAGAGGGAGACACAGGATCTGAAACAGGCTCCAGGCTCTGAGCTGTTAGCACAGAGCCCGACGCGGGGCTCGAACCCATGAACTGTGAGATCATGACCTGAGTTGAAGTTGGACACTTAACCAACTAAGCCTCCAGGCACCCCTATTTTATTATTAAAAAAATATATAAGTTTATTTATATTTGAGAGAGAGAGCAAGTGGGGGAGGGGCAGAGAGAGAGAGAGAGTCCAAGCAGGCTCTGCACTGTCAGCTCAGAGCCTGGCACACGGCTCAAACTCATGAACCCTGAGATCATGACCTGAGCCTGAACCAACAGTTGGACGCTTAACCGACTGAGCCCCCCAGGCTCAACTGTACTCAACTCCATTTTAAAAGATCTGTAAAACTCATGTATTAGTGGGAAAATCCGTGTCCCTCATCAAAAACAGACCCGAACCGGCCCCGGTTTTCCCCGGTCTGGTTTCTGAGAGGTAGCAGTGAAGCCGGAAGCCATGTTCAGCCGAGCACCCGGCTGTGGTATCTTCCAGGGGCTTGGTGGAGATCGAGCCGGGAACTGAGAAGAGAGAGACTTTCTCACACAGGCTCAGTGATACCCTCCTGTCATCATACGACCGGGAGTCACCTTACATCTCTTAGAGAGCTTCTCCAAAATAGTCCTCTTCCCCATACTGCATTCGAGGAATCTGAAAATCAGCCCTGAAGTCCATGCCAAGGCCACTCAGCTACTAAGCAGAAAAGCTGAGCTCAAATTCTGGTCTGCGCAGGGCCAAAGACCGTAATTCTCCATGGAGCCACACGAGGGAACTGAAAGGGTCCGACGTGGGGGGGGCGGGGGGGCGGGAGGGCTTTGGGGTGGAAACATCTGGAGGCTGAATAAAGGGAGTCATGGTTAGCACGACCACAAGAAGGTAAGTGAACAGTGAATCCCTCTTAGGAAATGTCCGGCAACCTTTTCAGAAGGGCTCTGTGGCCACAGGTTGTCGGTTCCACTCAACTGGTCAGAATGGCCCTCATCTTGCAACAAGTGTTGACGAGGATGTGGTGCAAAGGGAGCCCATGTGCTCTGTCGGCAGGAATGCACACTGGTGCAGCCACTGTGCGGAAAACAGTTTGGGGGCTGGTTCCTCAGAAAGTTAAAAACAGAACCACCCTGCGATCATTCACCCCACTTCGGGGCTGTGTGTCAGAAGGAAATGAAAACAGGAAATTGAAGGGATATCGGTGCCCCCACGTTCATTGCAGCGTTATTCACAAGGCATGGAAGTGACCTAAGTGTCCACCCACTGAGAATTGATGGAAGAAGAGGCAGCATGTTATATACAAGGGGATGTTATTCGGCCGTGAGAAAGAAAGAAATCCCACCATCTGAGACAACACGGAGGGACCGTGAGGGCATCGTGCTCAGTGAAACCAGTCAGAGGGAGAAAGACACTGGACTGCTTGTATGACCTCACTTGTATGTGGCACCTAAACATGTTGACTTGTTGAAACACAACGGTGGGATGGTGCTTGCCAGGAGCTGGGGGTGGTGGGGAGAGGGAGATATGGATCCAATGCTACATGCTTGCAGTTCAAAGACGAGTGAGTTCTGAGGCTCTAAAGTACAGCACTGTGACCACAGATGGCAATATGGTATTACGTGCTTAAAAAAAAGTCTCAAGATAGTGCCCAACGTCCCTGGTGTGTGTGTGGGGGGGGGGGGAGCAGAACCACTGTTATACGCTAATCAAACTAGAACACCTATAAGAATGTGCAGGAACATATTTCTTGGGGTCAGTTTGGTCTAGATCTGAAAGTAAGGCCCCCAGAGGGGAAAGGTGGGGGACATACACTTCATCCTTCCAAGTAATACCAATCTTAGATTTCTGAGATTTACTCTGGGACACCAAGGAGATGACTCATGGCCAACTGTAATGTCCGAGATGCATTTCAGTCATACCTTGAGGGCAGACAGAAGTATCTCAGCACAAAGGACTGTGTTCTCAGTGTCTAGATGTCCCCTATCATAGGGCAGGGATCTCCCCACCTCACTCCACGTCCTGACTCCCCGGAGCTGTGGATACCTTCCTTTACATGGCAGAGGAGATACACACAGGGTGGCAGGTGGAATTAAACTTATCAGTTGACCTTGAAGTAGGGAGCTTCTTCTGGATTACCTGGGTGGTCACAGTGTAACCGCAGGGTCCTTAAAATAGCAAAGCAGGCAGAAGAGGGTGCCAGTGCATCAACCATTGATAGTTTCAAAGTCAGAGGGAGGGGCGCCTGGGTGGCTCAGTCGGTTGAGCGTCCGACTTCAGCCAGGTCACGATCTCGCGGTCCGTGAGTTCGAGCCCCGTGTCAGGCTCTGGGCTGATGGCTCAGAGCCTGGAGCCTGCTTCCGATTCTGTGTTTCCCTCTCTCTCTGCCCCTCCCCCCAAAAAAATAAAGTCAGAGGGAGAGGCTGCCATGATGAGATGCAGGCATCTCTAGAAGTCGGAAAAGGCCAGGGAATGGATTCTTGTCTAGAGCCCCAGAGGGAACGCGGCCCCGAAGAGACCCTGGGTTTAGCAGTGAGACTGTTTTGGGGCTTTTCTACCCCCACAGAACCACAAGGTAATAAATCTGTGTTGTCACAAGCCACCAAGTTTCTGACAATTTGTTAATGGCAGCCATAGGAAATTAACACAAGGTGCAAACCAATGCCCGCGCCAGATGGGTTCCTGGGCAGGCTGCTGGGACCGGCCGTGAGTGGGACCTCCAGGGTCCGGTCTCAGCGGCAGCCCCCCAGGAGTTCCCCTCGGGATGGGGCTCAGGTCTCACGGACAGACAGTTCTCTTGCAGGGCTGTGCGCTGGCCAAGGAAGCAGGGGGACTGATGGTGAGTGTTCCTTCAGTTAAACCCTCCCTCTCCTTCGCTCCAAATTCCCCACATCCCTTCTCTTTCCTTCAAGGGGTTTCCTGACAGCAGGCGAGGGCACCAAATCCTGTCCCCAATCTGCTTCCTTCCAGAGCCCCTTCCCAAACCCACCCTCA